GAGTAAGTGATTGTTGTTTAAACTAAAAGCAGAAATAAAGCAGGAAATTATTCGGTTTTCTTAAGCAGGAAAGAGTCACTCGGGAATGAATCCCCCTAGCTCCTTAGTTAGGTTCAATTGCAATTCCCTGGGTTGATTTACTGTTGATTAGACTGCGGAAGATCCGGCAGTAGCTTGGAATCTCTTAAGCTGACCAAGCCCTCTCAGTCTAACTACCCGGCAGACGACTAGTCTTCACCGGGATAGAAAGCTGAAGCAGTAAGAACAGAAATTCACTACTGGAATTAGATTCCAGTACAAAGCAGTAAATTGATTGACTCTCGCACAACCAATTCACCACTATCAATCAAGGAAGCTCTCTTAACCAAATCAGATTCTATCTATCATAGGTTAAAGCAGAAATCAAGAGAATTTGATCAGGATTCAATTGACTCAATAAAGCATGTCTCAATCGATTAAAACCAAACAGTAATATCATCCCAAGTCATTACAATCAATCCCTAACACATAGAACTAGGGTTCTTCATCCCCAAGTGAGAGAAGGGTTATACTCCATAGAGAGAGAAGAGAAAACAAGAATCGGATTAGTCATACTCATAACGATGAGGATAATCTGCTCCGGGACGATGATTTTCACTCCTATGACGATCTCCAAGCTTGAATTGATGAAATCCAGCTCCAAGATGGCTTCTAGGGTGAGTTCTTCGTTCTTTCTCTCTCTAGGGCTCTGTTTTTGCTCAAAAGGTCCGATTCCCTCACTTCTGGCTCGGATTAGGCTTTAAAACCGGGTTTTCCCGAGTTGCACGGCCAGGGTGCACGGCCGTGCACCTCACCATTCTGGCCGTGCACTCTGAAACGCAGCGTATCCCTTAAGTCGAACTCAGGCTTCTTGCACGGCCAGGTGCACGGCCGTGCAATCTTCAGGGCCTGCCCGTGCAGCTCCTCGGCATGAGGCGCACGGCCAGCTTGCAACCGTGCACGGCCGTGCAGCCTCCCTGGTCTGCCCGTGCATCTCCCAAAAACCTCGCCACTCGTCCGTTCTTCGTCCAATCGACCCCAGACTCGCTCCTAAGCCTTCATTCACGTACTAGGACCTGAAACATCACAAACAAGCACAACCTAGCGTGAAATCGGCCTAAAACACGAGAATCAACACCTCAAACGGTGTAAGAATGGGGGTAAAAACATGTGTAAATGACGGTCTATCAGCAGTCAACCTAGAATTCATCCGATCCGTCACTCTTCTCTCAATCTGCAGCGCCCCCACCTTCTCCAAAACTGACTGAGAGTCCAAACCTCCCGACGTGAACAGATGGGTATAAAAATCATTAGCAATTAGAGCTTTTCCCTCCTCCGACGTCACCGAATTTCCCGCGGGGTCTTTGAGACTATGAATGTAATTATGGCGACGACGGGCCCTAGTAACATTATGAAAATAGGAAGAATTCTGATCACCCTCCTTCAACCAACCCACCCTGGACTTTTGTCGCCATTAAATCTCTTCATCCACCCAAGCCGCGCGTAGATGGCTTTCAATCTCTCGAAGCTTTCCCCAGTCAACATCGATAGCGCCTCTAGTAACATCCCATTCCCATTGGAGGCTCCGAATTTTCCGTTCGGAGTTACTCTTACCAAGCTTACTCCATTCATATAACCGGTGCCTGAGGGCTTTAAGTTTGCACCAAAGACGAAACATAGGGGTACCATCAAACATTGATAATTGGGCTACAAACATTGGATTTTAACGATGTTTTTTCATAACATGTTAATAACATGTTGTTACGGACAAACATTGATAATTGGGCTACAAAAAAGGAGCCACTGATAAAACATTATCTCAATTCTCGTTAATAACATAAAATAGTGCAAATACATAATGTAATTACTTGCATAATTACTCTACTCCTTAATAAACCGGCCATTTTTTCATAAAAAAATGGAAAAGACCGGTAATAACATATTGGATTTTAACGATGTTAATACTGCAGTCTAAATTGGAATGGGTTAGGGTGATTACTTGTTTTTTAGTAATCACGGTGGCAACCTCTTTATATACCATTTGATTAATTATTTTTTCTTCTTTTTTAATCTTACGGTCAAGATTCTTTTAGGGTAGTTTTGGAAATTAAAAAATGACCACACCTGATTATTCTCTATAATCTACCTAAACCCTAGTTCTATCCTCCCTCCAGCCAAACCCGTCGCAGCCGCCTCTACGTATCACTCCCGTCGCACCGCCGGCAGCAGCAGTCCCGACCACCCTCGGCCACCGCCGACAGCAGCCCCCGACCACCCTCGGTACCCTCCCTCCCTCCAACCCATTCGGCTCTTATCGGACGTCTTAAAAGCTTGAACTTTCTGTTTAGCTGCATTAAGTAATTATTTTAGCTTATCGGTGCTTCATCTTAATTTCATGCTGAATTGTACTTCCAATGAACTGTATGCTTGGGAGGTCGAAGTGAATCTGTCTGCAAATTCAACATGACTTGTGATTGCACCATTTCCTCGCTAAAACATCTTTTCCAGAAGGATTGCAGAACAACCCATAATTTGTGTGATCCTTTTTTTTAGCTCGGTTCTACTGCTATTGGGCTGAAGACAAAGGAAGGGTTTGTGCTCGCAGTTGAGACTTGAGAAGTGTATCACTTCACCACTCTTGGTTGGTTTTCTCTCTCTCTCGTTGCGCTCTCTCTCCCGCTGCTTACATACTAAATAGACATAAAAACCTAGATCTAGTAATTTTTGTTTATTGATTAAATGTGCAGTGGTATTGGTTACTATATGCAATGGTATAGATTGTTTATACTGATAGTTTTCATGTAATGATATAGATTTATTTCTGCAATGGTATTGATTGTTTATGGTATAGATTGTTTATATTGGTAGTTTTCGTGTAATGGTATAGATTTATTTCTACAATGGTATTGATTGTTTATATTGGTAGTTTTCGTGTAATAGTATAGATTTATTTCTGCAATGGTAGTTTTCGTGTAATGGTATAGATTTATTTCTGCAACGGTATTGATGTTTTTCAAAGTGGTAGTGTTTTTCTAATGGATTGGTACCAATTTCGTGTTTTTTTTTTTTTTTTGCAGAAAGATTGAGAAAAATATGGAAAGGAAATCTGGCTGGAGATTACGGAAGTGAGAGAAAGAGAGAATTTTAATTAATAGATTTTTGTAACTACCTAAAATGTAATTTATTAAAAAATTAATTAATATAATTTATTTTTCCATACCCAATTTACCCTTAGTAACCACGGCAATTACTACTTTTATAGTAATCACCGTAACCTGTCCTAGTCTAAATTTGTTAGTAACATTCATGGTTATTATTAATCATGTCAATGTCCTTTTGTTTCACGCTTATTTGGACGATGAGAGAGGCGAGTGTTTGAAATGGAAAGTGGTGGGCGGCTTTTAGGAGAATGGGGCATTTACTATTTTTTCACCGGCAATTATTATTATTAGCAACATTAAATAATTAATTAAACTACCGCATTTGCCCTTTTAGTTAGTTATTATTTTCCTCCTATCTCTCTGCTCTCCTTATTGGCCAGCAAAACCTTAATGAACTCCATAAGTTTTGGGCTTAAGGATGGGATCCAACGCGGCAATAAATAGGGGTAGGTACAATTTTATCTTACTGTCCTTTTGTATTTAATTTAAATAAAAAAAGTAACGGACATGTGGGGACAAGAAAAGAAGTTACTGATAGGTTACTGACCCATTAGTTACTGACCAGATCTGGTCCTGTATAAACCGGTTTGCCAAACTTGCCCTCTTCTTATTCCCGTGATTCCGTGAATCACTCTCGAGTCTCAAGTAATCGGGACTAGATAATATAACAACACTCTTTTTGTTGTTATTGTAACAACACTAGTCTCCAAAGCTAGGGTTGTGATGACTTTTTATTAGTTGAGTTGACCTAGTGTAAAATCAAAGCAGGGGTATAATTGTCATTATGAAAAAATAAAATAAATAAAAAAATAAAAAATATTTTTTTATTTTTTGCCGAAAATTTTGGTCGCTGGAATCTTGTCGCTGATCACCGGAATATGCTTTTCGTCGCTGGAATATGCTATGTTCTCATCGGAATATGCCACCGTCGCCGGAATATGCTTACCGGCGTCGGAATATGCTTACGGCGTCGGAATCTAGTCATCGGGGCCGGAATATGCTTACCGGCGTCGGAATCTAATCATCGGCGCCGGAATCTGGTCACTAACGGTCATCGGAGTTTGGTCAACGATTTTTGTTGACCGGTCAACGACCACCGGATGTTATGGTCTACATTGTGAGATTTATGGTTTGGTTTCTCATATTTTTTTATGTCTTTTGTGGTTTGCTTTATCGTGTTTGTGGTTTGCATTAAGAAGTTTCTAGTTTGCTTTATCGTGTTTCTGGTTTGCATTGAGAAGTTTCTGGTTTGCTTTCAAAAACTTTGTGATTTGCATTGTGAGGTTTCTGGTTTGTTTTAGTATATTTGTGGTCTGCATTAGGACGTTTATGGTTTGTTTTTTTGTGGTTTGATTTACTGTGTTTGTGGTTTGCATTAGGAGGTTTCTGGTGTGCTTTCGCAAATGTTGTGGTTTGCTTTGTGAGGTTTGTGGTTTGTTTTAGGAGATTTGTGTTATGCATTAAGAGGTTTCTGGTTTGGTTTATTGTGTTTCTGGTGTGCTTTCGGAATACTTGTAGTATGCTTTGTGAGGTTTCTAGTTTGTTTTATTGTGTTTCTGGGTTGCATCAAGAAGTTTATGGTGTGCTTTCAAAAATTTTATGGTTTGATTTGTGGGGTTTCTGATTTGTTTTAATGAATTTGTGGTCTGCACTAGGAGGTTTATGGTTTGCTTTACGATCTCACAGTAGAGTAGAGATCATGAATCGATCTCACACACATGAAGATGGCTAGCTAGCACTGCACGGCCGTACACACACATCATTCTCACACACATACATGCATAAACATAAATATATATATGGGGTTTGCGTCAATTATATGGAGTGGCTACTTGGCATGACATCAAATCAAATCACATGAGCAAGCTCCTGATAATGGCGGCCTCGGGACGGTCGGAGTCGATGGTGGAGAGCAGCTCCGACAGCCGGTCGCTCAAATCTTCCACTTCTCTTCTCTTCTCTTCCTTTCTTTTTCTTTACTTTCAGTTTTCCGTTATTATGTCGTCTAGCTTAGCTTCCTTCTCCGTCGGGGGCGCGAGAGCAGTGCCGCTCAAATCCTCTTTTATCATTCCTCTTTTGGGGTAAGGACATTGCTTCTTGTCATCGGCGTTGAATGAATCTACCTTGTTGGTTTCTTCTGTACTAACTGCCAGCATGGTTTGAGAAGGGAATTAGGGAAGAGATCAGGAACAACACTCTGTTCTTGTGCCGCCATCTGAACCGGCGGGGACGCCACCACTCAATCAACACTAAAACCTATATTTCTTCCCTCGTTGCCTTTGCTTTCTCGAACATGATCATTCCCTTGCGTATCCGGATAGAAGAACACAACACAGCAACATAATTCCGTAACACAAGGGACAAATCCATTTTATTTTAATATTCCATTCTCCAATATTTGTTCGAACCAATTTCGGGAAGGCTTCATCAATGTGTTTTGTGAATTTCGATAGGATTTTGCTCTCCGCTGCTCTTCAACCTGTCGTCTCAAGCTTCGGCTTCTTGTGCAATCGATCAATCAACATGCAGCATTTAATGTCGCTGAAACTCACGAGGAAGAAGGCGGCGTTCGGTCAGGGGAGAAGAAGAATCCAGATCCAGCAGTAGCGTGAAGGAGACGAGGGTGAATGGGCTAAATATATTTTAATTAAATTAGATTTTAGATAAGTTTACTCTTATACCCTTAATGAATCTTGTTGTTAGTACAACAATACTTAAGGTGTTGTTATACTATCCGGGCACCGAGTAATCACTGCCTTCCACTGACCACTAGTCCACTACTATCCTAGCAGTAGCCTCAGATAACCCCAATTTACTACCTGGGTCCTGGCCTGGGCTGTTCGAGGGTTTACCTCTGTCTCTCTCTCCTCCCCCCGCAGCCCTTGGAGCTTGGCCAACAAGATTCATCAATCTCTTCCTCTCTCTCTCTCTCTCTCTCTCTCTCTCTCTCTCAGTTTCACTCCCCCTTCCTTGCAACTGAGCATCAACCGCACTGCACCTCGCCGGAGAGAGGATAGTGAGATTCCAAAGAGCCCTAATGGTTCGTTCTCGTGGTGCTTACCTCCTCGTCGGTTCCCTTGCTCGGCGCTCTTCTTTGCTCCGCTCGCACTCTCCTAATCATGATGTAAGCTCTTCTTCCTACTAAAGTTGAAACCTTTCCTTTGTTTCTCTACTCTTTTATCCGTTTCGGTTGTTGGGCAAACGGGAGATCAATGCGGTGCTTACATTCTTTAGGGGAATTCTTCATTTGATTAACTTCAGGTTTATAGAACTTTGCTCAATTGGAGATGTTATAGGCGATTAATAACTACAACTCGAGGTTGCAATCAAGCTGGGGTCACCGGCAATTCGTTCCCCCAAAACGGTAGGATATGCCCTGTTTCTCCTAGAAGAACAGTGAGTATGAAGTTCGTAGGAGTTTGCTTATCTTCTGCAGTAAAGTTGGGTAAAGAAAGATGGTTTTTATTTTTGGTTTTTAGGTGAGGTATGTAGTTGAGCTCCCAAGATGGTGTTACTTCTTTTATTTATTTCCATCTTCTACACATGTGCAGTTGACACCAAAAATTGGTTGCCTTTCGGAGCTTTGAAACCAAATGGGGTGAGGTTAATTCATGGCACAGGTACATCTCTCTGCAGAAAGCTGATCTATTTTCGACTGGGTCTTCGTGTCTCTTCTCTTTCAAATTATAGTGTGGTCTAATCCCACGCTGGATTCTACCTTCAGCTCACACCTCAAAAGATTACTATGACATACTTGGTATCAGCAAGAATGCGACTCAATCCGATATTAAGAAGTCATACTATCAGGTAAATCTTTGTCTCTTGCTTGAGCCATTTTTATTTTTTACTATCATGACCCTGCAATTGTTCTTTATCTCCATGCTTTAGCGTAATTTCTTTATGCTTGTTCTGCTTATGCTGTTTAGCTCGCAAAGAAATTCCATCCAGATAGTAACAAAGATGATCCTGAAGCTCAAAAGAAGTTCCAAGAAGTTTCTAAGGCGTATGAGGTGCTTTCTCTATTTGATGATATTCAACCTCTCCTTTATCTCCTTGCTACTGGATCTTCATAATGATTTTGACGTATTATGATTTTTTCCCTGTTTCAGGTTTTAAAAGATGAAGAAAAGCGTTCCCAATATGATCAGGTTTCACTTCTCTTTTAAAATCTCCTAACACTTACATGTAGTATCTTTTTGTAGCCGGTGTAGTTTTTGGGGCTCGATTTCATAACATCAACTTGATCCATTTTCATTTCCTAACGTCTCTCTTGTCTTTCAAACACATGCACATTCATAAGCACTCTCACCAGTAGCATGTATATACGGAGTGTAGTGGCTTGATAATTTCTAAATGTTCATCAGTTGAAGCCTTTGATATTTTGCATATTTGTGACTGACTGTTGGTAATTGTTGTGCACCTAGTGCATAAATGCTGTAGCTTATTCCTCGTTTAGAAATTGCTGATGATTTTGCTGATATTGGTGATTTGATCGATCTTATAGCTTGGACATGAGGCCTTCGAACATCAAGGTGACAATGGTTTCCATCCTGGTGGTGGGGCGGGATTTGAACATCCGTTTGGGGAATTTTTCAGAATGAATGATGTAATGATTCGCCCCCCAGCTACTTTCTTTCTGATATTTGTTAATTCAAACTGATTCTGCTGATTTTTGGAATTGCTTTGTTGAGTAATGCTTCTCAGTTAACAGAACATGTCCTTCCATCTTGAGATAATTGTAACTCATTGAAACTTGTTAATTTTAATATATGGCTCTACAACTATGATGTTAAAATCTGTTAAAACTCTAATGATCAGTAGCTGGTGGTGCTAGCAACTTTGAAGTTAGAGATCAGGATACCATATCTATGAAAAATTTGTAGGAGATTAAAATACCCCATTACAGAACTTGTATGATGTTTAACTTTTCCTCTTGATCCTTATAATGGTATGCCTTCTGATTTTGATACTAGATATTCGGCAGCATGTTTAACCAGCAGCGGCTTGGTGGGGAAGACGTCAAGGTTTTCTTCTTTGGTGGTTCTTCTTAGTTATGTGTTGTAGTAATGATGCTGTCATGTCTATTTACCAAATTGTTCGAATGTTTGGTTCATCTAGGTGGCTCTTGAGCTATCCTTCATTGAAGCTGTTCAGGGATGCACAAAAAATATCACATTTCAAACTGATGTTCCTTGTGAAACGTGCCGTATGTTCATCCTCTCTTCTGGCGTCCCCCACGCGTGACTTGCTACATCTTTTCTCAAATTTACTTGGAAGCTATTTTGCATCCATTTGCAGATGGTGAAGGAGTACCTCCTGGTGTAAAACCTCAAATCTGTAAGCGATGTAAAGGAACTGGCACGGTTAGTATTGTAGAAGTGGTAGACTCTACTGATACCAGGTGTTTATGTCATGTGTTTCTGACTAGGTATTACTACACTCTGCAGGAGTTCACACAAACAGGGTTTTTCAGTGTTCAGCGTTCATGCAATCAATGTGGTGGAGCTGGCCAAACTGTATCGGTATGGGCGAAACTCCATTGGTTATCACTTCTCGGCTTTTGTGTTCTTGTTACTTGTCTTAGACGAATTTGTACCTGCCAGATTGTTCACATAACTAAATATTTAATTATCACTCTCTGTTGATTTAGCAAAAAAAGATTATCGGTGTGTGACTAACTTGTTTGACTGCAGAGCTTTTGCAAGTCATGTCAAGGACGGAAGGTAAAAAGAGGGTCAAAGTCAATCAAATTGGATATAGTACCAGGTGTGCTCTTTTCCTTCTGGATCTTGAATATGTTCTTCCTTCTTTGGTTTCTTTATTTTAGTTCCTAGATCAAATTTAAGTTGAAGGTTCATGCATTGCAACTTCATGTTGCATTGAATATTTTACACTTGATTGCTTCCTATTGTGGTGGGAGCATGGTTTAGCTGAATTTACAGAAATGTAGTTAAAATGCCTAAATTGCTGTGAAAGTCCCTCTAATACTCAATACTGGTATTCCTTCTTTTTTCGGGGGCTCCCTGATGGAATTTTGATTAGCCTTTTTGCATTCAACTCTTGACCCAAGTTTCTCCGTTCATTGTAGGAGTTGATGATAATGAAACAATCAAGGTTCCTAGGAGTGGTGGAGCAGACCCTGACCGAAACCAACCTGGCGATCTCCTTATCAACATAAAGGTAACATTCTTTGTTCAGAAAACTATTTTTCTTGCATATTATTATCTCCTAAATGGCATTGACTTGTGCAAGAGGCATGGACGTGGGGTGGATTATGTCCATCTCTCTAGTCTTTTTTAGCTGGAAATTAGGAGTTGCTTCGCGGTTGGTTGTTAAAACGTAGACAAAGCTGTTACTGAGGATACTGTTTAGGTGGCTCTTCTAGTTAATCCCATTCTCATCGGCCGATGTCAGTGAACAATTGTGCTAACTGCCATCTCATTGTGGAGATATAATGTGATTTGAATCAATGCTCTGTTTATTATGCCTCTCCAGGTCCGTGAAGATCCGGTTTTCCGCAGAGAGGGTGCTAACATACATGTGGATGCTGTTTTGAGTATTACTCAGGTAAAGATACCATCTTTTCTTTTTGACACTCATGCAAAAATACGGATTATATATCTTTGATTACGACATGAAAAACCGAGCAAACTACGAATCTTGGTCCACTGAGGCTTTCTTGTTGTAGTAGTTGTTGAGAATTCACTTGAGATAATCAGTTCATTAGGAATATCGGTGGCTTCTTAGATATATTCACTCGTCTTTTGTGTTTTATTGTATGTTGATGCTTCAATCTTGGGATGGAGAGTTAATATTGCGTTGTTTTCTTGCAGGCAATTTTAGGGGGAACAATCCAGGTCCCAACACTCACTGGAGATGTCGTTGTTAAGGTAGTGTCTAAAACCCTGTTTTAGCCTAATCTGGAAGTCGGCAGTGCCCAGCAGTAGTAAGTTCAATGTGATTTTTTTGTTCGGTTCAGGTCCGTCCTGGCACTCAGCCTGGTCAAAAAGTGGTGCTGAAGAAAAAAGGTGAGGACCTTGATGATAGCAGCTAGCTACCTATCTTGGATTTGACTATATCAGGAACTGACTGAGTCTATTCTCTTACTGCTGCGATTATGTTGGGCAGGAATTAAAACACGTCGGTCCTATTCGTTTGGGGATCAGTTTGTGCACTTCAATGTCAGCATCCCAACGTGAGTTCTGTGCTGGGTTTTGTGCTGTTTTTATTTGGAGAAACCAGTGCTTAAATGATAATATGATAATTTGGAGTCACTACTCTTGTGTGGTGCAGGAGTGTTACACCAAGGCAACGTGAGCTGCTGGAGGAGTTCGCCAAGGAAGAACAACAAGGAGAAGAAGGTGACAAGAATCCTGCTGCGGCTGCTGGGGCATCTAACTAAACACTACCTAGAAGCTGCTGATGGGCTCCCCAAAGTTTTGCAGAAGCACGAGTTTGTATACGTTCTATTGATCTCTATGTTGGTCGTATTACCATGAATGACTCTTTGCTAGGCTAGCTATCATGTCGTTCTTCTGAAGTCCAGGCAGATAATTTAGAAAGCATCGTCTTTTCGTGCAAACGACCATTTTGTACATGCCGTAAATCTCAAACTGCTGCTGCTGCTGCTAAAGTGTTTGGAGCAAAAAAGAATTATGTAATGATTCAGACAGTTCGATTCAGCATCACTTGTCTTTCTTCATTTTCTTAATCATGTAGCTCAGTCATTGGGTTTAGTTTCTGAACGGTGTGTAATTAAATATTGCTAAGGGTGGTATTTCGTAATCTCTTTTGCAATGTTAGTATCTACTATCTAGACTGTAGAGTGAAGAAATGTTGAGGCTGAGTGATGGACGAAGAGTTCTCATTCTATTGGGCGTGAGTCGTGACCCAACGGCCCATGGTCCGAGCCCATGGCGTCTCCTTTGCTGCATATTGTCCTTTTAACTTGTCCTACACTCCCTCCCTACTTGTTTTACTCTAGCTGAGAGATGCAGGGTATAGAAGCAAGTTGTAAGCCCGTAGCCCGTAGGCCACAATTAAGATGTGATCAATAATATTTTCAGTCGGAGATATTGTGCTCTCTCGTAGATTAGTCTCGTACAATATAAATGATGATACCATGTAAATAGAGGAATTTTACAATGCTATATAGTATTGATGCTATAGGTTTTTGTCTTTATGGTACAACTTGAACTTGTACCTTTATGTGATGGTACAACTTCACGTTGTAAAGTTGTACCATAACATAATGGTACAAATTCTTTTATGGTACAATCTAAACTTATACATTTCATGTTATGGTACAACTTTAAGTTGTACATTAAAGTACCAATACTATATAGCATAGTAGAAATGCTCCATGTAAATATTGTGTAGATTAACTTTTTAGTCTTCCATATTACATTTTTCTCATGGTATTAGAGTTGTGATCCATACCAGTTTTTGAAACATGTCTGGAGATGTTTCTACGATCGAGATGCCACCCACCTCGATGTCTTCCGGTTTACCTCCAGCGATAAGGACTTCGATGCTCACAGTCATAAGAGAAGCAATCAATATCCAGTTTCCATACGAAACTCTGGAGGATCTTAGAGAAGGCGCAGTCAGTTACGCCGTCACGTGGGCCTTATTTAATAAGAGAAGCAATCAATATCCAGTTTTCATACGAAACTCTGGAGGATCTTAGAGAAGGCGCAGTCAGTTACGCCGCCTTCGGTTTGTTCATGTGAACGCAGGTGTCGTGACCAGAATGAGAGTTTATGGTTCCTTGATTTCCTGCTGGGGTTGGGTAAATCGTTTGCTACGGTTCACATTCATATACTCTCTATGTTCGTTCCGCTTTCCCTTCCCTAAAGCTTTTAGAATCTTGTATAACGATGAACATCAACGTACCCTTACTAGAATAGAATATGGATTGTGGATTCGACCACACAAAATCAGAAGCCGATTCCATAGGCAGCACAGCAGCCTTTGTACCTCGTGATGAATTGGATCAGGCAGCACCTGGGAATCGGAACAGGCACAAGCGAGGATCAGTTGACAGTGAGAGTGGGAATATGATAAAGATAGATATGCCCAATTTCCATTTCATCTCCAATAACTCGCAACATATGCCTCCAGACTTTTGCTACTCTAACAATCTCAGCAGCAGCAACAACAAACCATAATCATAATCAAACTTCAAACCCATTAATTAATCATCAATTAAGAATAGAATCGAAACTATCTTTAACTTCTTCGTCATCATATCATCAGGCGCTGGTTCTGTTTAGAAATCCTTGAGCAGCTTCCTGACCTGCTCAAGCGTCACAAACAGCACCACAGTGAAGGGCCCCTGCCTCGAAATCGTAGGGATGAATCCCTTGTAGAGAGCCATGGGTCCTTCCGCCCTCACCGTCTTAATCGCGCAGTCCAAAGCCCCGCTGTACGGCGCCGCCTTCCCCACCTCCACGCTCATGTTCATAACCCTCGTCTTTATCACATCCACCGGATTCGACGCCACCGACGCCACGAACCCCGCCGCAAAGCTCGCCGTCACGTGCGTCCCCAGCCCGTCCCCCATCACGCCCTTCTCTAGAATCGACTCCTTTATCTGGTCGTACGACGCCAGCTGCGACGCCGTCACGATCATCGCCCGGTTCACCGTCAGCGACGACCCGCGCCAGAGGCTTCCCACCCCTTCCTTCCTCGCCATCGATCCAATCGCGTCCACCACGCTAGTGTAGTTCCGCCGCGCAGCGGCGGGGAGCCTCCCGTCCGCCTGCATCCTCACCATCGCCACGTCGGCAGGGTTCCCCACGGCGGCGCCGATTCCGCCGGCGATGAGCCCGGCCGTGATTTTCCTGACCAGCGGCATGTTCCCCGTCTCCGGGTTGGTCCACTTGGTCTTCAGCACGTCGTAGAGGCCCATGCGGGTGGTAGAGTAGAGGGTCTGCCGGAGGACGGTGGCGGAGACGCCGGAGAACAGCGCCGCCGCTCCTTCCTGGCGGAGGATGTTCAACCCGACGGCGACGGGACCCACGGACGGGCGTGGAGCGGCAGTCACGTGGATGGCGGAAATGGCACCGCCGTTGTTGAAAGCGAAAGCCGGGCGGAGGACAGGGTTGGGAGCAGCCAAGCTCTCGCCCTGCAGCTGCATTCGGACCTTGATTAGATCCAGCGGGTGGGTCGAGCAGCCGGCGATGATGGAAGCGATTCCGCCCTCAACGAATCCCTTGACGCCCATTGCTACAAAGAACTTGGTGAAAAAAACCTAAATTGCTCTACAAAAAAAAAAAAAATTGGTAGCGAGAGGGAGCAAAAATGGATCTAAGGGGAAAAAATTGGAAATCAGAGAAGCCAGTTGGGGCTGAGGTCGCTGGAGACGAGGAAATGGGAATGCAAGCTGAAAGTTATGGAGGAGGAGTGAGGCACGAAAGGTCTCTGAGACATATGCCAATGAGGGGATTTTTGTGGTACTGAGATGCTGCGATGGTGGGTTTAGAGCGAAATGGTGGAAGAGAATATATATAGTAGGCATGAGGTAGGGGAAAGGAAGGAATGGACTATGGAGGAAGCGGAAGGAAGACGCGGTTCTAACTTCTATGGTGGTGGAATGTGGGGCCGGGTCGGGTCAAAATTTGCACCTTTCCTTGTAGGGTTTTGATTCGGTGCTCCGCCCGGCTGGGGAACTGGGCAAGTCGCCAACCAGACAGACAACACAACCTCCCACGAAACAGAACCAATAATTAATTTTGCATCCCTAAACAAGAATAATTCAAGTAAATTAAGGAAATAGTCAGCCGGCGACTCTTCCCTAAATCTCGCATTTACTTATTTAATTATGTAGGGCTTAGAATAGGGTCACTAACTTATGAGTAACGAAATCTGGAATTTTAGATCTAAGTGGACAAAGAAAATTCAGATCTAAGGATTGTCAATTAAAGACATTTTATTTTCCCTAGTTTTCATAATCGGCTCTTATCTTCTTCGTTTTAACTTAGATTTCAATTTTTTTTGCACAGATGGAACGAATTCGTTGTGCTCTACAAAATGAGATCAATTTTCAATATATTTCGAGAATTTTTTTTACCAACTACATACCATATGGTAACTTCTTCATTTTTAAGTCGTTTTTGAAAACATTTGCTCAGAAGGAACGAGTTCATCATGATCTATTGGATCTACAAATTTCTGGGTGAAAAAAATACTGGGCAAAAAATTACCATACTTTACCACTAGGGCTGAAAATTGGCTCGACCCGCCCCTGACCCTGTCATGACCCTGTCTGACCCGCCCCTGAAGGGTCAAGATGTATAACTGACCCGCCCCGACCCTGTTTCTTTCATGACCCTATCTGACCCTTTAGGGTCGGGACGGGTCAGGAAGGGTCGGGTCAGTGGGTCGACCATAATAAATAGACTACTGTTCTAAAAATTATAATTTGGTACCCGAATTTATTTTTTCTTACATTTTAGTACCTAAATTTTATTTTTTGTACAAATAAGTCCCTAAAATTTGATGGTAAAATTACATTTTGGTACCCAATTTTTTTAATTTTTACAATTTAGTACCTAAACTTTTAAAATTTTACAAATAGGTCCAACGTGTTTGTATGATGCTTAGGGTCATAGGGTCAAAAAGTGACCCGACCCTAAATTGGCCCGGTCCTATCTGACCCTGACCCGACCCTAAATTGACTCTGTAGAGGCGAGACGGTGGGTTTTAAGGGTCTAACTTACACCCCTATTTACCACTATGGTATGTGGGTGGTAACTTGTGGTAAACAATGATGAAAGTCGTAAATGACAGTTAGTATACTCCTACTATCATGTATTCAACCTTCTTACCATATTGGTATGTTCATACCATTATGATACGCTTTCTTACCATATGGTATTAAATACGAGCATACCATATGGTAATGACTGGTAAAAAATCATTCAATTTTTTTTTTTGCACTAAAAATATATCAAAGTGGATATCATTTTAAAGAGCACATTTAATTTGATTTATCTGTGCAAAAAAAAAAAATTAAATTTCGACTTAAAACGAGAGAGAAATCGTCCGTTAAAGATTAATGAGGAAAAAATAAGACTTTCCGGGAGGGAGGGGATGCTCATGTCATGCAAATGTGAACAAGTTATTGATAGTTACTCATCATATGAGTTATTGACCTTATCCGCTCCATTATGTAGGGGCGCCGAATCAAAACTCTAGGACGAAAGGAGCAACCCATGAATCAACGCATTAAATTAGTTGTATTTTTTCTTTTTGGATTGTTGGCTTGGACTCAGGAGTTGCTCCAATCTTTCCACAAGTCTCACATTTCCCAAGGATTGGCCGAACCGAATGCGAGTCGAGGCTCACACATCCTCTTCGTACTTACTTCCGACCATCAGCTAGCTACATACACTTCAATATAGTGAATTTTTTACCTTTTTGTCATGGCATAATTTGTTATGGGAGGTTTAATCGTTAGGAATGTAAATGTAAGAAAATGTATTACATGAAGTCATGAACTAGTTAGAAATTGACCATATATATCGTGTGCACAAGCTGAGCGACCATATCTCCACCATGGATGCAACGATGAATGTCGTCAGCGATCAATTTCGTTCTCATTCCTCGCCATTGGTGGCTTTGACTACCAAAGTTAATGCTCACTCTCACCAACTAGTTGTCTGATACGCACTTGGACAACTGTTTTCAAAAAGTTTCATTTTATGCGTTTGAGACTCTATTGCATGGTTAGTGGTTTGTTTACACCAAACGCAACTTATCCACCCATTTTCCACATTTAACATAGTTAAAGCTTGATTTGGATTCCATGGTACTCGTGCATGTTGACTTGCTAAAAACCAACACTCTAATCAATAGTCAAGTGTAACCATGGATCCGGGAGTAGTATAGTGGAATGAAGTTCTAATTGTCAACCCATTGCCCTGAATATAATATTACCAGGAGACCTGTTTATTATCTAGCAAACATGTTGTAATGTCTATTACTAAATCTAAAGTAACAAAGTAAAGAAAGTTGGTTCGATTTCAGTTATGAGAAATGTCACTCAGGTATATGTCCCCCTAGCCTGTAGTTAGATCAAAGTTGTAATTCAACTTAGTTCGGTTCACAAATAATTATATTGCGGAAGGTCTAGTATTACCTTGGAATCTCAACTAAAACAAACCAAGCCCTCCTAAAGAAATTAGTCAATGAGAGATTATCCTCAGCCAAACTAAAATGCCAAGGCAATGCAAACAGACTTCCTTTACTTGAATAGATTCATGTACAAAGCAATGAATCGATTCACTACTTCCAATTAAGGTTGCTCTCCTAATCTAATCAGATATTCTCTCTCCTAGTTTAAAGCAGTATTCAAAAGAATGTGAATAAGACTCTATCGATTTTGAATAATGCCTCAGTTGAATATGACTTATCAATTCATCAATCCAATAGTTCATACAATCATTATCCTAACATCTAGAACTATGATTTTTCATTTCCAAGTGAAGAGGGAGATTACTCCATGGAGAGAGAGGAGAACACAAAATCTATGGTAGAAATCATCGTGTAAGCGGTGATAATCCAAACCAGGTCATCGTCTGCCACTCTAGAGGGGTGAATTCAATCTCCAATCATCGAATGAATGCTCAAATCATCTCTAAGGCTGGACTTTCCATCGCTTTCTCTCTCCAGAAGTCTCTTAGCTCGTTTCATATAGCCAAAGTTGGATCCCCTTCAGAATTCCAATTGAACTCCTTTTATAGTATATAGTTTGTGATTCACGACCTATCTCACGGTTGTTAAACAGCTCGTGAAATCGATGAAGTCGCGAGCCAGGTCGTGAAACGAATGAAAGCCTTTGTTATTGAATGGGTCTCACAGCATGGAGGGTTGTCTCGTGGGTTGTCTCACAGTCTATCAGCCTAAACCGTGAGATAGGTGCCAGCTACATGTAATCTCACGTCTTGCCATCCGATCGTCCCAAAACTTGCCTCCAAGCTTCCAATCATGCACTAGGACCTGAAATACGGCAGAAATGTGCAACCTAGTGTGAAATAGACTTAATATGCAAGAAGAAGAGCTCAAATGATCAAGAAATGAAGGAATAAGTATGTGTATTTATGGCGTTATCCAATTCCCCCACTTAACGGTTTGTTTGTCCCCAAGCAAACCAAGTAAGACACAAGGTAAGGTTACAACATCTTTCTTGAAAACTTTGGAGACATGTCATAGTGGCACAAAATGCATGAATCGCAATGGCTATCTGGCATCGACATATGGAGAAACAACAACCCTGACAACCACAACAGATGATATTCGACATATAGAGCAACAACAACCCTGGCAACCACCACAAATGACTTAATCATTCACAGAATGAGTGTCACCACTAGCTGGATGCTGAGCATGGTACAAATGCATTCATAGACGAAGTTGTGATATGATTTACATGTCATTCAAAACGTTGCCATTCATTATGACAATTTTACTAATGACTAGTGCTATTTTAACCTAGCTACTGGCTATTCAACCTATTTGTACATGTAAGGTATAAATCCTATAGCACATCATCAACGGACTTGTGCAACATCCTCCCAAACAATAACAAAGGATGGACATGCTGAATATGAGACAGTTAGAGAGACGAGACGCCGATTTGAGGGGGTGGGAAGGGTTAAATGTGAGGCCGGGTGGGGAGTTCTGGGCTTGTGTGCTGGTCTCTTTTTTGGTATTTGAATTTGGGCCATAGGGAATAGTAACGGTCTAGGCAAGACCAAACCGCCCCAGACCGCAAGTTAAATTGGTCTAGATTCTCAGCCTAATCATATGGTAATAACCATTAAAACCCATCATTATTAATGATTTTGCTTGCTTTCGAACATAACACAGTTTAGTTATCAATAATCTACAATATCGTTATTAACATTTAGAGTGCGAACATTATTAATCATTTATAGTAAATATTACCAATAATTACCAATAGTCGTTTTTAATAATTTAGAAAATCATTATTAATGTTTTTTAATGCAATTCAAAATCTCTCTTTTTCTCTCTCCTAAAATCTCTCTGGTTTTTAGGGATTTGGTGGCCACCTCGATGTCGACCGAGAATCCGGCTGGCGAGGGCTCCTCTTGGGCTCAGTTGTTTGTTGTAGTGCCGAAGAATCGTCTCTAGTATCGTCCTCCAATCAAATTTAAGGATGGTTTTCGTCTTCCGAAAGAGGTGAAGGAGAAGGGAACGAAGCGGTGGAAGAATTCTCTTATTGGTCAGTTTGTTGGATCTCGGCTAAAGATACCAGAGCTTCAGTCCTGGATGAATGCTCTTTGGGGGCGCGATGGCCTTGTTCGAGTGTCAAAGTTTGGTGTTAAGCTCCAGGAGTTTCAGTTCCCTTCCTCCGCTTCGTGCGATTGGGTTTTCTAGTCAGGTCCCTGGCATTATTGAGGTTATCCTGTTTTCTTTTGCAAGTGGAAGCCAGGGATTCAGCCAGTCGTACCTA